CAGAAAGAAAAAGAAAAAAAAGAAAGCGACGAGAGAGCTAGAATATATAAAGAAATAAATGATTTAGTACTATTTCCGAAGAAAAAGGAATGTTATTTTTATAAGTACTGTCATACAAGTCTTTATAATAAATAAAGTAAAAGCTTATTTCCTTTATTAAATAATGGTGTATAATGTTAATGTGTCACCATCAAAAAAGCTATTTAAGACTTTAATCGAAATTCGCATAATAGCGAGGAAAGTAAAAACTTTCGGTTGGTGCTGTAAGGACCGGTGTTGCAACATGTTTAATTTTTTTGGGATGATTGCATTCTTGTTGAAAAAAATCGTCTCATCGCACCAAAACTTGCTATGAACCCGATGCGGAAACACTGGGTCCAAAATTTTTTTCTTGTGTTTCATTCACTGTTAATAAACTTGCAGAGGGTATATAAATTTCAGTCAGAAGATTGCCGTAAAAGAGACATTTGGGACCGTATAAAGTATATTTATTCTTGATCAGCATTACTAGGAATGTCCATCTTTCTGTCTATCCATCTTTCTGTCCGTCCGTTTCTACGCAAACTCTCTTAGTTTTAAAGCTATCTGCATGAAACTTTTCCAAAAGTTGTCTTATTTGTGCATGTAGTATATAAGTCGGAACAAGCTGTATCATACAAATAGAAACATTCAAGAAAAAAAATTAAAAAAAAATAAAAGTTGTTTTAAAATTTTTTGTATAGCTTTTTGATATAAGGTAATAGTTTGTTTGTTTCAAATTACGGTTTAAATTTTATTCAAATCGGACGACTTTATCAGATAGCTCCAATGGAAACAATCGGAAAAAATAAAAAAAAGTTAACTTTTCTAATTTGCAATTTTTTTATTAATTCTTTTGGACATATGAATAGTTTAATAATTTAGAAATCTGCTTTTAATTTTATTAAAATCAAAAAACAAAAGGTGAGAACCCTCATAGCTTTAATGGGTTTTAACGGGTACTCACATAATTCGAAATTTGGGTGTTTTAAAGATGATTAATTTTTGCGATAGCTGCAGGGGTATATAATCTTCGGCTTGCCGAAGTTTTCTCCCTTTTTTGTTATAATATCAAAACCAAAAACCTGAAAATATAAAAAATAAATAAAAATCATATGTTCGGACATAGATATATCTAATCGTCTTGTGATGCTATTTAAGAACACATATACTTTAAAGTGTGAAGAAGATATTTTCATTCTTCGATGCGTTGAAAATGTTTGACTGAAATTATAATAGCCTCTGCAAGGTTATACAAATTGCTAAGTTACCTGCACGGTCAAAGTTAAATTCAAAACATGGCCTCGCCCACTCTAGCCCACAAATCGTGAAAGTAATTGTGTTTCGGTAATATCTATCGCCTGACAAAAACACTTTCCTATAAAGCTTTTATTTTAGAAATGATTATGTCCTCTGCAATTGCTCTGCCGGTAAAACACTACCCTATGCCCTATGTTATAGCGGAATTTTTTTGTTTTGTCACTATATACACATGTGTTTTGACATCGGCATTTAAGTCCGATCGTTATGGTTGATAACCTTGTTAGAAGGTGTGACAAACGAGTTTAAGGGTCCTCAAGAGAACCAAAATGAATCCAGAATCAGTTATTAAAACAAACTCAACATGTTTAGGTACAAATTTTATATTTTATTCGCATTCGTCGTTTTATGCGATCTATATAAAGCCCTTGCTGAAATCAGGAACCATCAGTGCCCCGAAAAAACACCTTACGACACACTAAAAGAAAGCGAGGAAGTTTGTCTAGTGGAACTATCTCCAGTGTTTGAACACATTGCCAACCAGAAGAGGATTGAAAAAGGCGGTGAATATTTATTTAATGAAACGCAGGGAGTGCTGGACAGGATTGAAGGCCATCAAGAAGTCATCAGAAAGAAGTTAAAGGTTCTGCAAGACAGGATCGAAAGCCAACTTACAGAACTTCTAGATAAAATGGATCTAGAGGTAAAAATATTGTCCCAGAAAAAAGCTTTGGAGGAAGCAACTAACGCCCTTCGCCATTCTCTGGAGTTAAAGAAAGTTTCTGTAAATGTCATAGCCATTTCTCAGTTCGAAAAGTTGGGCCTTAGGTACTTTTATATTGAGAAGAATGTCGGGCTGGATTGGTTTAGTGCGGCGAGACAATGTCGTGAGATGGGCGGTCAGCTGGCGTCACCTAAAGACGAGGATGAACTCAACCTTATCCGTCAGAAACTCGATTCCAGGCGGTATTGGCTGGACATCAGTGATCTGCCAAACAAAGACGAATACATTTCTTTGGCCTCCGGTGAGGCAGCCCCTTTTTTGAAATGGAATAAGGGGGAACCCCTTAAGAATCCTAATACCCACTGTGTATATATATATGGCGGACACTATTATAAATATTTCTGTATTGATAGGAATTTATTCATTTGCCAAGCCGAAGACGCCAATAATACAAATGTAAAAATTCATAATAATACGAATATAAATATAGGTATTACCATTAATATTAATTTAAACAAAAAAAAGGAGTGTGAGAGTAATAAAAAATTAGAAGACGAAAAAATCAAAGCAGAAATCGAAAAACAATTAAAAATAAAAGCCGAACAAGAAAGGAAAATAAAATTAGAGAAACAAAAAAAAGAACAACTAGAAAGGAAAAAAAAAAAAAATGAAGAAAAAATAAAAAGGGAAGAAAGAGAAAAAAAAGAAAGAGAAGAAAATGAGGAAAGAAAGAAAAAAGAAAGGGAAAAAGAAGAAAGAGAAAAAAAAGAAAAAGAAGAAAGAGAAAAAAGAGAAAAGAAAGAAAGAGGAAAAAAAGAAAAAGAAGAAAGAGAAAAAAGAGAAAAAGAAGAAAGAGAAAAAAAAGAAAAAGAAGAAAGAGAAAAAAGAGAAAAAGAAGAAAGAGAAAAAAAAGAAAAAGAAAGAAAAACAAAAGAAAAAGAAGAAAGAGAAAAAAAAGAAAGAGAAAAAAAAGAAAGAGAAAAAAAAGAAAAAGAAGAAAGAGAAAAAAAAGAAATTGAAGAAAGAAAAAAAACAGAAAGAGAAGAAAGAGAAAAAGAAAAAAGGGAAGAAAAGGAAAGGAAAGAAAGAGAAGAAAATGAAAGAAAGAAGAAGGAAGAGGAAAAAAAGAAAGAAGAAGAGGAACTCAAAAAGAAAGAAGAGGAAAAAAAGAATGAAGAGGAAAGGGAAAGGGAAAGGGAAAGAAAAGAAAAAAAAAGACAAAAAAAAGAAAAAGAAGAAAGAGAAAAAAAAGAAAAAGAAGAAAAAGAAAAAAAAGAAAAAGAAGAAAGAGAAAAAAGGGAAGAAAAGGAAAAAAAAGAAAGAGAAGAGAACCAGAAAAAAGAAAAAGAAAAAGGCCACAAGAAAAAATGTAAAGGAAAAAAAAAGTGTAAAAAAATTAAGAAAAAGAAGAAGAATAAGAAGAAGGATACAGATACGAATTATTATAGCTATGATTATTATCCTAGTCTTACATGGTCACTTAGTCCCGATTGGAACTACTTATATTACTGGTGGTAAACGTATCCAAGTGGCATGTTCTATACGCTTTGATAACTGGCCAGCTTCTCTCCTCAATTTTAAAAGTAAAATTATCTTTTGTAAATAAAGTGGAATCTTATTATCTGCACACAATCAATAGTTTTTTTTACGTTCATTTGTCAAAAGAAAATACGTTTTCTAGTATATGTTTTAATTTTTAAGAGAACGGAAACAAACTTCGGCAAACTTAGGGTTATATTTACTAGCAGCTACAATACGAAATAATCTTGTTTTTAAATAACTTTTAATCGGATCATCGGATTCATACACTGGTAAAAAAATGGAATAGTAAAAATAAATATGCGCATATTGAATTGTAAAATACGTATTTCATATTTAAAGTAAATATAAAAATATTGAAATTAAATACAAAACGTATTAAATTCCATAATTTAATATTAAAATATTTAAATCAATGTGGTAAATATTGAGTTTAAATTTTGGGCAATTTGTTTTAAATTTTATCATATTAAAATTGAAAATTTTCAGACTAAAAAAAAAACATAGTCAAATTAAGAATGTGTCATATTTAATTATAGTACGAAAACTGAAAATTATTTTGAGTTTTTAATGACTTTTACAATAAACAAAACATTATTACAGTTGATATTGTCAATTAAATTTCAATAGCTCAATCTTAGGGAAATATATTTAATAAATATGGTACTTAATATTTTTAAATTTAAATCTAATATTATTTGTATTAATATCTATGTCTAAAGTATTATATTGAAAATGCTCAATATTTAAATTTAATATGAATCGTTATACATAACAAATTAAATTTAAATATTATTTTTGTTACTTTAAATATTATTCCTATTTAATTTAAAGTTGTAGTCGAGGCCCGCATTTTATATTTAAAAATAAATACAAAAATTATATTTTATTTTTTTGTTTTGTTCCATTAATTTAGACGAAACTCTTAAATTTATTACGTTCGTAACTAAATTAAAATAATGTTAAATAAATGGAACAAAAGTCATAATTATCCATACATATGTACATACATATGTGTATAACAAATTCTAAATGCGCATTTTTAGCGGTCTTTTTTCTCCGTTATTCGCTGTTTCTTTGAAACGGATTCACACACACATATGTACATATGTGTGCCCAGATCACTTCTCTTCGTATTCAGCATTGCACGGCGCGTGCCATCATTTCTAAGTCGCAGTTGTTGTGTCGTGTAGTGAAAATTAAAGTTTAATTGCTGATGCCGCGATCTCATCAGAAACACAAATCAAAGATAGTGAAGTGCTAAAATAATTAATCTGGATCGCGATTCTTACACGTTATTGGGTGAATAATTCTGCAATAAATTTGTTTTAGCCTTTATACCCACGCTTGATATATATATGTATGTACATGTGTTGGTATGCATGTACATACATATGTATGTGCAGCGTTCGTTTACCGCTTAATTGCCGTTAGATTTAGTTTGGAAGCCACTAGACACGGTTAACGAACTCTGCACATACATGCATATATTTGTATGTAAGTGTGTGAGAATATTTAAAAACAAATATCTTCTAGAGTTATTCACATACATATTAACTGTGTATTTTACCGCGATCTAGTTTAACATAATTAACCCTCAAGATAAAGATCACGCCAAGATTAATTTTAAGCTTCGGAAGCATAACTATTTGGTAAGTACCGATCTAAAAATAAAAATATAAATGTGGTAATGTTATGTTTGTACATACATACGCACGCTGCGTAAACATGTTTGTACATATGCATGCATGTGCAGCGTGCGTTTACCGTTTTAGTTACCGCCCAAAAAAATTAACAAAAAAAAAGCGGTAAACGCATTCTGCACATGCATGCATATGTGGCTGTATTGAGAATAGAATAAAAAACAAGTACAATAATAAAAGAAAGTAATAATAAAAATAAATATGTGAATAATATAAATATAAAAGTATTTAAATTAAATATTAAATCATAATATTAAATACTTTGCATATTTAATAGAAAGACTTAAAATGTACCTATTTAAATTAATGTAAAAAATATTAGATTTAAAGTGGTTAATCGTTGTTTAAAAAAATATATATTTAAGTTTAATATGGTTTAATTTAATACTCACATATTTAAATTTAATATTTCATTTTTTATCAACTTACTCTGCAGTACCGTTTATTACGTTTTCTTTGATTCCCTGATAATTCATTTACATTCATATTTTTACGCATGTTTACATATATATGTTTTAAGATCTTAACTTGAATTAGGTTATCACGCTCATCCTTGCCGGAAGAAATACAAATTTTGCACCCATCCTCAAACACGCCGAGAATAAAATTTGATTACAGCAGCAAAGCTCATAGAAGTGTTTGGTAAGTGCCGTTTTTTATAATTTATTAACATTTCAGGGACCGCTAGTAGCATAATGTGTTAATTTTTGCATGCATAAAAGAATAAAAAGATTTCAAGCTGCGAATACTTGATTTGATTTTTTAAAATATTACAAAGTAATATTAATATTTTAAAAAATAAAATCAATCAAATCGATAATAATTACAATAAATTAGCATAGAACAATCCCTAGTGATACCGTAATATATGACTTGGAAAAACCCAAGTTAAGAAAAAAAAATCTAATTTCAGATACAAATCGATTTTAATTTAATGTTCCCTGGAAAGGAAAGGCGCATTAGCTTCAAAATGGGAAGCGTTTAAGAAGAAAATACAACAGTACTATGCGTATAATATCCACAACGTGAACAGAAGGAAGCTGTTTATGAATTTCAAGAATTCAGAGACTATTGGTAAATTACATTATGAAATATATTGTTTTATTTTTTAATTAAAATTCATATTTTTGTCTTTCTTTTATTTCTTTTTCATCAGACTTTATTTTCACTATCCTGCTCCCCTCAATTTTATCGCCCAATACATGGTACTCTTCAAAAGCATCAAAAACCAGAACTCCCTGGAAAGTCTAGTCCTTCGAGTGAACTCCATTGCCGACTATCGCCAAAGGATTGCAGAATCTGTCGGTAAAAACTATTCGAATTTAAAAACAGTTCAACCGTGTATGTTTGTAAAAAGCCACAAAGCAAATTCTTTAAAAACATGTGCAATATGAAGTGAGTGTTAAAAACTACGTTCTTTGATATATAGGCCGTACTGTATATAAATTTTGCTTAAATAAAATGATTACAAAAAAAAAATGAACTGCTCAATGTTTTTCTTATGTTAATAAACGGTTTTGAATAATTTAAATGAATGTACCCTGCATTTGATTTAAATATAATAAATATTTATATTTAAGACGCTAAATAATACATGTTATATAATTCATATTTAAACTAAATACTTTAATATTTAAATTCAGTGAAATTGTTATTAAAATTAAATATGAATTGCACTGTATTTAAGTTTGGAATATTTAATTTATAGATGTTTTATATTAACATTAAATACGATTATAAATCAAATTAAATATTTTAATATTTAAAACAAAGATGCACCGTATTTAACTTAAATTTATTTCATATTAATTCAAATACGGTTTATACTTAAATTAAATATTTTAATATTGAAAACAAACATGTTTCATTATTACTTCAAATACGATTTCTAGTTAAATTAAATGTTTTAATATTTAAAATAAATACGCATCGTGTTTAATTTAACTATGAATTATGTTTAACTTAAATATGGACCAAATTTAAATTAAATATTAAAAATATTGAAAATTACTCTGTAAGTATTTAAATTAAATTCGAAAATCAAATTAATATGGTGCATATTTAAAGTAAATATAAACGGATTTGGATGAAAATCAAAGCGAAAAATATTTAAATTGAATACAAAATATTTAAATTTACTACTTTTTTTTTACCAGTGTAGCCAACTGTCTTGCAGTCGGCGTTTATTTTCAAGGAAAACGCAACCTGCCTACAAAACTGGTACTCTTCAGCCAGCAGCTGCTCCGATTTTTAAATTTTGTACTTTCGCATTTGCGTATTTGAGACAAGTTTTTTAACTTTTTGTAAATTTTTTGGTTGGTTTAATACATTCCGATATTATGCTTTGAAAGGTATGCCACTCAGGTCATTTCTACGTACACGCTCATATCACATTTATCTCGAGCCTGCTCTTTTATAACTAACACTCATATTCTTAAAGTTATAATACGATATTTAATGCTCAAATTTTCTTCACAAATCATATACGAGATAAATTCTTCTTGGAATTATTTCTTGATCTGGAGATATAGTGGGTATAGTACATTTTAATGAGTTTGAAAATACATGCTTTGTTTTTCTTATCTTATCTGCTTTGGAAAACCATCATACAAATTTGAAATTATATTTTAAAAGAAATATTCAAACTCTTGGAATAGGTGACTAATACTGTAATCCACCGAACAAAAACCATCTCAAATCAGACATTACTGTTCTTTAAATGGCTTTCGTTTTTATTAGCAAGAGAGATGATTGAAAATTTTTTTGAGCAATGCTAGATGTTATAATTTAAAAATCTTTCATAAATGTATTACCAGGGCTGGTCAAATTTCTTTCGAATTAATGAGAACTATGCAACAGTTCTTTTGGGGAGATCCTGACGCAGTTCGGGCTTGAATTACAGCAGTTTTTTGTCATTGCTAACTTTGTTTCTCTTATCAACCCGCAGTTGAAAAAACGACCCCCAAAAGTGACAAGCGAGCTAATCGCACTAAATATAAGTTATGAATTTTAAAAACCCTTGTAATTCTGATGAACTATTTTAATATTGGTATAATTCTTGAGTAAAGAGCCTCCCAGTAAAACTGGGTCCCATCTGAACCCATTCACTTCAACTCCATCAAATTCAGCGCCCACTTATTCGTAGTAATAGAACAGAGCAATTGAGAAATGCGGATACATCGTCAACATTTGCGGCTCTTTTCGTCGGAACTCCTCTAATGTTAATGGTAATGTCTGTTGGCGGCACGGCAATTAAAAGGCACGCTCTGTTTGTTGATGTTGGTGCTTGACTCATTGTTGCTGCGGCAGATGAAGCATTGAAAATCAACGATGTCGACAACAAGCTAGCTCCGTCTTAGTTCCAAGCCGAAACCTATGCTTCATCTTTGGATCGTCTGTCTTCAGTCTTAACTCGCCGGTCCTAGGTCCCTCTTGATTCAACTCTAACAATCAACAAACGCTCACGATTGCGATTGACTGAGGGGAATCCGAGAATCGAATGAAGGGGCGGAAAAAATGCGAGAATTGTGCGGTGACTGGGGACCGACAGAAAAGTGCAGGGCGACTATCGACTGTTGGGATCTGTGTACCGTAAGTGATGTTGGTGTCGCCACCTACATCTTGAATAGAGACAAGAGACGACGACAACCAGAACTCTGGCGATGCACTTAGAAAACTTTGCTTCAATATGTTGCAAGTAAAGGCCCAAATCATTTGCGATAGTAAAAAATCCAGCTCAAAGAAGATGGAGCAACTATTAGATACCCGTCACTCAGCTACCCAATTAAAAAAATAAAAACTAGGCTGGTAAGACAATCGATAACACTATCGATACTATCGATGGTCAAACAATTTAGCAAACATCGATAGCTTGTGCTTACCATCGATACTATCGCCCTAGAAAAATGTATTGCGGTATTTTTCTGGGAACTTGGTGGCATTTTGAACTTTTTTCCAGTTTTAAAGTTAATGTTAATACTTTATAGAAGTTATTATTTGCGTTGTTAACCAACGTCAAATAGAAAAAAATAACTCGGAAAGAAGGGGCGAATGGAGTAACCTTATAAAAATATTGGCGAAATAATAGATAACATCAGACACAGGTAATCTTTTCCTTTAAATAGTAAAAGAGTTTGTTTTGCAGTGCAGCATTTTAGGAGCCTATCTCTGTCAGCGGAAGTTGTTCAAGAACTTTTTTTTGATGAATTCTGTTGCACATAATAGTGCATCATTTTCAAGTACCCAAGTACGAGGACTAGACACAATTCTTTGATTAGCCAGCCGGCTGACATGGAGGTTTCACCTCAATCTCGTATTCCCTTATTTTTTGTTAGCATGAGCAGAGGGCGTTTATTGGCATGGCAAAGTAAATTGCATTGAATGTTAATTTCTATGGCAAAACCAAAACGCCGTTAGTGGGACAAAGGGGGGCAGACAATGGCGCTCCATTAATAACTGACAGGACAGGACTGGTCGGGACAGGACAGGAACTCAAAACCGAGGCTCAAATAACGCTTAAAGCTCAAAAGCCACCGACAGGCTACATGAGACTTCGGAGGAGTGGGCGCATTAGTTGGCTTTTGTTTTGGGGCAAACCCTTTTCGCCTGGCTAGAGGCTACAACAATAAATAATAAAATGTTGACACGACAACGTCATAACCTTTGAACGTGAAAATACAGACCACAGACTCAAATGGGAGAGACAAAGTCGAAATCTTTTGCGTGGGCTGTGGACTTTATCTCCTTCGCTCTTCTCCTTTCGCAACTGCATTCAATAAGCCTCTTCCCTGAATAGTTTGTTAAAGCAAAAGACCCACTGAGGTTTCGACCTTCACGCCACATTTACCCGATTCGATTCAAGTTGAGTTATGTCCAACTTGTAAACGTCGCCCGATAGGCATCTTTTCCACACAGTAGCGGCGCCCAAGGGGAGCAATTCGTATCCGTGAATATTAATGAAATGGTAAAGGCAAAAAGAAAGTGCAGAAAAAGCTAGTTTTAGTTTGCCTTTTGGTAAGGATTGTCTCAGTTTGAATTAAAAGTTGCATTTGAAATCCGAATCGGTCTTAATAAAATATGAAAATGTATCTGCCAAAAGTTAATCAACTAATCCGTTTGAAATTTTTTTAGTGGTTGCTTAGGATGTTCAAACTTTATAGCCAATTAGACTTTGGTCATTAAAGCTAAGGTTAGTAAATATAACGAAATTAATATTTTTAATTTTAACTTACCATATTCTTCTAAATTCGTATATTTATTATTCGCACATAACTCTGTACTGGGAAGTTTTAAACTGGCACATCCCTTTGATAAAATGAATTCGGGGACTACGCACATGGTGGGCATAATTGGGAGCAGTAGTCGAAACAATGGCGGCTTAGATATCGCTGCAGGTGGCAGTTCCGAGCCTTCGGCTGCAGTGCGGCAACTCACAAGTTGGCAGTTGCCAATTGGCTATCGGGCACACTGGTCGCCAAAGCCAAGCGGCAATTTAGCAATTGAGCAAGTGAACATGTCGCCGGCTCATTACAGGCTGCCAAAAATATCGAGGCTGCTGCTGGCTTATGTTTTTCGCCTGGCCTAATCGCAAACGAAATCGAAAAGCGAACAACCAAGGTGCACTCAATTGGTAAGGAAGGGGAACCCGCTACACACAAATAAACATTTATATGGTTTTTAAAACGGTTACAATTCCGACTATATAAAGTATATGTAGTCTTGATCAGCATTACTAGGGGAGTCGATCCGACCGTCCGTTTCTACGCAAACTAGGCTCTCAGTTTAAAGATTTATGTCAAAGCTTGCTTTCTTTCTCGTTATATATATTTTTCCCCAATAATTCAAAATGATAAGGTTTTCTGTAAATTTAAAATACATCTCATACTTTCTACATAGACAGAAAAAATGTATATGTTTTCAATTAATATTTTAATATTAATATTTTAAAATATCACACTGATCGCGTTTGCTGTGTAATATACTTAAATCATATTAAGCTTTTTCTTTCTCTGTAGGAAATAGTATGGGACTAGGTGCCGGAGGTTCTCTGTGCGATTTGTTTCTTGACTCTGCGGCGGCCTCACATCAAATCAAATTAAAACGACTGCCTGTCGATTCGACTGACTTTGATTTTCATTTCGATTTGCTGACAATTTTCAGCCGTCGAGCTTAGTTTTTGTGTGTCTTAATTGGTTGGTATGATAAGATGTGTGTTCATGTTGATGTGGCTGCCATTTGGTTGCTTGGATTGAGGTTTCACTTCTCGATGCAGATAATGGCAATTAGCTGCGAGGCGCGGGTGAAGCCGAAGCTTATTCGGGGACACGCAAAAAGTGCCCGATCCCAGTTTCCTTCACCATCGCA